TCTTACAAGCAGTATTTCTTGAATTAACTTCAAAGTGAGGTTTCGCAAAACCTTTTCTAGACCTCTGTGCTAAAAGAATTGTGTAGAAAAGAGGTGGGGCCATAAGGGGGCAAAGAAATACCAAAGTCCTACGTTAAGCAAACAAAAAGGTTCCAGGGAATTTTGGATAAATGACCAATCTGCGAATGCCCCAACTGTGAGTGCGAGAAGTAGACGACGGAAGAGATGGAAGAGTGCTCATACCAACCTAGTGGACAGAGATTACTGCGGAGGTGACCTTGACCAACCCCAGAGTCCCAGAACTGAGCGGCTCAGGTCTGCCTCCTTGGGCTGAGTGAAGCAAGTGTCCCTTGGGACACTTAGGAATTCCCTGGCCATTAGAATCCCTTAATAGAAGTGGCGATTCCAATATAGTGATAACACTCTGAGTTAAAAGGACCATTAGCCTCCAGAACACAAACCAGAAAAAACCCCATCCATCCCCTGAATCAAGAGGATGGAAACAGAGAGTGCTACCATATTTCAGTCCAACGGTGGTACCCCTGTTGTAAGCTTCTGCCATGAGAGCTGTGAAAGGGTGGGCCAAGAAAGTGACAGTGGAAGATCCATGAGCATGGTCTGGGAAGCTGATCAAGCAATAGAATTGGCATGTAGGCACCAAATGGGGCTGGAGATAAGGTGTGCAGAAGCACCAGGACATAGCGAATAAGGAAGGCAGGTACTTAGGAAAAGGGGAGCTACAGAGAAAAGCAGAAGATGAAGTTAGGATAAAGAGAGATAATCAAGACAAAGAAGGCCAGTGGAACTACAGGGTATTATGCTAAGCGAAACTGGTCAGCTAGAGAGGGACAATTATCAGATGATCTCACTAATTTTAAGAATTTGAGAAACAAGCCAGAGGATCATAGGGTAAGGGAGGGAAAAAGAAACAAGATGAAACCAGAGAGGGAGACAAATCTTAAGAGACTTTTGGTCTCAGGAAACAAACTGAGGCTTGCTGGAGTGGAGGGGGGTGGGAGGGATGAGGTGGTGGAGGTAAGGACATTGGAGAGCGCATGTGCGATGGTGAGCGTTGTGAATTGTGTAAGACTGAAGAATCACAGACCTGTCCCCCTGAAACAAATAATACCTTATAAGTTAATTAAAAAAAAAAAAGACAAGACCAAAGGTCACAGGGTAGGATGAGGCAATAGTTAATGTAGTGTACAGAAATGACAGAAAAAGGCAAGTTCTCGTGGGCAGGATTAGGCGTGAGAACTGCCCCTTCGTGTCTCACTCAGCAGAGCTTCCATCACCCTAAGAACCATAGTGGTGTCTCCAGAGGTTGGGCCTCGAGCTGCAAAGCCCCTCTTGAGCTACAGCTAGTTTCCAGCCTCAAGGCTGCTGTCTCTGTATCTCTGCTTTCCCCCATTCCCATCCCCACTGTGCACAACTGCCAGCACAGGACTCTCTCCTTTCCAGTTCCTGCGCTTTGGGCACTGCCTCTTCCCGGGGCACCTGTGGTCTCCAGTGAGTCTGAGCAAGCTGTTATGCTCAGCCTTCCATGCATCGTTCCCACTTTCTCTATTCTAGCAATCTGGTTTCCCTCTGAATCTGACTGCTGACATTCCCCCTGAATCTGACTGCTGACCTTCCTTCTGAACTTGGCCGCTGAAATTGGGCATTCTCTCCAAAGGCCAGACTTTAGAATCTCTTCCCATTTGGGAAAGAGCTTGCTGGCAGATGGTCTGGGGGTTCTACCACCTTGTAGGATAGAACAGTGAGCAGCACAGATAGAACAGAAATGTCCGAGAGAAAGCTGAAGATGGAGGCAACATGATGGGTGACGTCTGAGTGAGCAGTTTCAGGAACACGAGCTCTAGAGTCTGAAATAAAGGGAAGGACAGGAACTGATGAAGGAAACTGGAGACAAAAGAATCTCTCCAAGGAGCAGGTAGGCTGAGGCAGTCTTCTGACCTACTTCTACTTGTCTTCATTTCCCTCTTGGCCCAGAAGGACCTGCTGTCTGAACGAGACATTGGGGAGGCCATTGGAAACGGACGGCTTGGATGACTGTGGGATGAGAAGGGAGCATTTCCTTACAGCAGCTCTGATAAGGACGTACTTTGAGCTGTTGTCTGCTTACTACTGCTCCTTCAAAGGAAAGCTCCAGTGGCCCTGCTAGTTCTAAGCTTTCAGTAACCTATCTGTCTTTTCTTGCCTTCGGACACAGAAAGAGAAGCTGAGCTTCTTGGCTCCACAGGTCTCTGCTCTAGAACTATCTTTTCCAACCTACTTTGGGTAGCTAACTTGCTTTCCGAACATCCTCTTCCTGGCCTTTAAATCTCAGTCTGAAACAAAAGCTACTGTATGGGGGCACCTGGGTGGCTCAGTGGGTTAAAGCTTCTGCCTTGGGCTCAGGTCATGACCCCAGGGTCCTGGGATAGAGCCCCGCATCAGGCTTTCTTCTCAGCAGGGAGCCTGCTTCCTCCTCTCTCTCTGCCTGCCTCTCTGCCTACTTTTGATCTCTGTCTGCCAAATAAATAAATAAAATCTTAAAAAAAAAAAAAGCTACTGTATGGATTTGAAAGTTGCTAAGAGAATAAATCTTAAAAGTTCTCATCACAAGAAAAAGAAATTCATAATTACATGTGGTGGTGGAAATTAGTTAGGTTCTGTGTGGCAATCATTTTGCTGTACATATGTGTATCGAATCATTATGTTATACACCCAAAACTAGTATAATGCTATGCTAATTACAACTCAATTAAAAAAGTAAAGAAAAGTACATTTTTTAAAAAACAGATAAAGAAGCACTGATTGTTCACATTTACCAAAATAGTTGCTCATTTTAAATGCTATCACCGTAGGGCACCTTTAGAATTGAAGGCACGTAAGTTTTCTATAGTTATTAGTTGACCAGCCCCCTGACTGAGAGTATGTTTGTTTTCTGATGATTATAACCATTTTTCCTGTCAACAGTCACATGGATAAAATTAACATTTTGGGCTAAAAAATAAATTTATGTATGTTTATACAATTTTTTTCTCAGTCCAAATTTGACATCACATTCTGGTTTGGAGAGAAGCTTGCTGGGTCATAACTTTAAGTCTGCAAGAAATTCACGAAGGGTAAGGAAAAGCTTCTGTCCTAATTTATAGAGTTTAGATCATTGGAGTTGCTTTTCCCCGAGAGAGAAATCAAACGTTTAAGGGTAAGAGCACTTGAGCATCCCGAAAAACACATGGTACATTTATTATCACATGCTCTCTGTTCTTTCATTGGAACCTCCAACATTTGTTGCTTGGCGGCTCTTATCAGAGTCAGAGAGATGAAAGCAAAGCCTACAATTGGTGTATTTTCATCCCCTTCAGTAATTGAACTTTGATTATCAAATTCCTGTCAAGTGCCATTCAAGAAACTGCAGGGAGAGACTGAGAATATGTGCAAAGATCTCTCAGACCCTGGAGTCCTCCCAGAAGCAACAGCTTTGCGGGAATCACAAGCTGCCACCACACCGCTCTTGCTCCGCGGGGAATGAGCACAGCTCAGAGATGTGTGTTTAAGGGGATGGACAAGGGTTTAGCGTCCAACGCACCACCAAGCCTGATTTCTCTGCTCATTGACGTAATTGCTGCAATCTTGTGCCAATCAATGAACTACTCTAAACTCCAGTTTTCTCATCTGTAAAATAAAAGTAAAAATGTATACACTATAGAGATTTTGCATAAATTAAATCAGTGTAATTTAATTCAGCGAGGCCCCTGGAGTCAGACTCCTTGGGGTTCAAATTCTGGCTAGACCACTTACTTGCTATGTGATTCTGGGCAAGTTGCTTCAAGTCGTTAAGCCTCAATTTCCTCAATACACGCAGTATTGATAAAAATGATTCCTACCTTCTCCAGTAGTGGTGTGGAACAAGTGAGATTATCCACAGGAAGAATGTAGTAGCAGTGGCTGACAGGTCGTAAGTATTCAAATGAAGGTTAGCTGTTATTCTAGAAAGCACTGCACACAACAACTATTTCTGGTTCTCTTAACTAGGTTGCACATTAAAGAAGGCAGTGGTGCTAGAAATGCCAGCATTTTTCTTTTCTTTACAAAGAAAAGAATGCTTTTCTTTACAAAGCATTTCTTTGTCTTTTTTTCTTTTTTCTCCTTTCAAGAATGTTCTGGTACACATTAGCAAAACGCCAAGGGGGAAGGGAGCCTAGAAAGGCTTTAAGTGTATTTCCTTCACAATGAAATCCATGTGCTTTCCAAAGAAATGGTATCCTGGAAAGGGGCCAGTTACCGTAGGTGCCTAAGATTGTAAATAAAGCATTAAGGAAGAGACTCCAGGAGTCCAGATTAAAGATAGGTCATTATTATCATTAATATCTTCATTAACATTTTTATATGCTTTTTTAAACGTGTGAACTGTGGTTGGTTTAGGGACTGAATTTTATTCAAGATGTAATTGTGTAGGTGTTTCCAACTGTAGAGCAATGTTCTTTGGGGCAGTAATTAAAAGTATAGTTTTGGGAAAATGTTGAGACTGAAGTTTTTAGATGAAACCGAGGTCTCGCCCCCGCTGCTGGTCCCAGGCAGGCCCCTGCCTCCCAGCCTTGCCTGGGCTTCTCTGGGTTCCCCGACTTCCTTACTCTGTGGGAGCTTCCTCCGTGGTCAGCAGACACATCTCGGATTGGGTGTCACTTTCATTCACTTTCTACATGCAAGGACCTTTCACATCCTAGACGATTCTTTTTTTTTTTTTTTTAATTCTTATTTATTTTTAAAATTTCTTTTCAGTGTTCCAGAATTCATTGTTTATGCACCACACCCAGTGCTCCATGCAATACGTGCCCTCCATAATACTCACCACCAGGCTCACCCAACCTCCTACAGCCCTCTCCTCCAAGACCCTCAGTTAGTTCCTCAGAGTCCACAGTCTCTCATGGTTCGTCTCCCCCTCCAATTTCCCACAACTCTCTTCCCCTCTCCATCTCCCCATGTCCTCCGTATTATTTCTTATGCTCCACAAAACTATGGAACGCTTCCCGAATTTGCATGTCATCCTTGCGCAGGGGCCATGCTAATCTTCTCTGTATCATTCCAGTTTTTTAGTATATGTCCTGCTGAAGCGAGCACACATCCTAGACGATTCTGATGCTCATTCTGGGCTAGGAGAAGAGGGGCAAGATGACGATTTTCACTACAATAACTCTTGTGGAGTTTTGCCATTTTCTGACTCCCTTGCTTTTCCTTTTTGCAAAATGACTTTCTCACACCAGACATGCTAAATAAATGTGCTTAAAAAGTGGTATTTCATGGTTACCAGAAGGAAGTGGGTGCGGGGTTTAAAAAGGTGATGGGGATGAAGGAGGGCGCTTGTCCCAGTGAGCACCAGGTGTTGTGTGGAAGTGCTGAATCCACTATATTGTGCACTTGAAACTAATATTACACTACATGTTAACTAGCTGGAATTTAAATAAAAACAAAGAAAAAAAAGTGATATTTCATGGTTACCAGGGGCTAGGTGGAGTGGGGAGTTATTGTTTAATGTTTAATTCTGTTTGGGATGATAAAAAAAATGTTCTGGAAATGGATAGCGATAATGTTTACACATCCTTGTAGGTGTACTTAATAGCCACAAAACTGTACACTTAAAAATGGCTAAATTGGTAAATTTTATGTATATTTTGCCACAATTTCAGAAAGTGCTATTTCAACATTATGGCTTAATCACTTTTTATAGACACAATACTTTCTAGTCAGAGAGCATTCAGTGGCCCCGGTTCGAATGGCCTGCCATTTGAGGTGAACACCTACAGCTAACATGCTGCTTCCCACAGGTACCAGGGACCCGAAGGAGGTAACCAGAGGCTGTATTTCCTAATTTGCATATTAATTAATTGTATATAATTAGATGTTTTGAATTGGAAGGTTTGCTATTTTTAAATATTCTAAGCACCCTCCTTTCAATGTCATCACCTAAAGGCAGGGTTTTCACTGACAGTTTCGTTGTCAAGAGAAGGATGGGTGTTAAGGGGCACAGCTTCCCACTTCTGGTGAGTCAGTTCTGACCTCTCATTGCCATTAATGTGAGATTTCAACTCGAACCATCCAATCTTGATATTTGGTTGGGGCATTAATATTGTGAAAGCAAATTAATCCTCCTGGAAAAGCATAAACAAGCATAAACTTGTTTTTGAAGTTCTGATGCTTGAATAATATTAGTAAAATCATCTCATGAACCTGGCATGAATTATTTTCTACTTTTCAGAGAAAGTTGTCTTAGAATAAAGACAGGGTGGGGTATCTTTCGATCCCACAGGGCGCTTGCAAGAAGGATGGTGTCTGCAGAGCTGCGACGTTTCTCTCTCTCTCTCTCTCTCCCCACCTGTCCGTCCCTGAGTTTCTCCTTTCAGTTATCTGTTTCCAAGTCTTCTCCCCAGCTTCTTTTCTTTCTTTCCCACATGGACCCTCTGAGGTAGAAGGTGGGCAAGGCAAATATTATTATTGCTATTTTACAGATTTTACAAGTGACATACAGGGAGGATAAATGAAAACAGAGCTCACTATGGGAAGAGCCAGTCCTAAACCCCATGTCTTGTGACTCTGGCCTGATGTTGGTTCCATAGCTGCAGCCAGGATTCTGGTGGTCCTGCAGTCCAGGAGGGGAACAGGGACGCAGCACCACCAGACGTAGGGTGCCAGTGACTTGGACAACTGTCAGGTATGGTGCTGAGCACAATTCATCATTAAGTTTCCCTGAAGATGCTCCCAGAAGCTCCCCTCCTGGCTGCTGGGTGGCCCTCATCCATCCATCCAGACTAGAAGAGGGTGTAGCAGGTGTTCAGTTTGGGGAGGCCAACAGGCACATATGCCCTCTGCATTTGGGTGACTGTGATGCTGAGTTCCTTTTGAAGTCAAAACTGTCCACCAAATTCAGCCATTTTTAGCCCACATAGCTGGGGAAATATCACAATAAATTATTGCTCAAAAAATAAATTTGGTTGTCTCATTCAATTATTATCTAGTTAATTCTAGCTACACAGATACTTGATATAGGAAAAAACTTTAAAACATCTCTTCCGGGCGCACCTGGGTTGTTCAGTAGGTTAAGTGTCTGCCTTCGGCTTAGGTCATGGTCTCAGGGTCTTGGGATTGAGCCCCGCATCGGGCACTCTGCTCAGCAGAGAGTCTGCTTCTTCATCTTGCACCTGTGCCTGCACTTGCTCTCTCAAAGAAATAAAATCTTTAAAAAAAAAAAAAAAAAAACCTTTCCATTTTCCTTCCCCCAAAGGATCAATTTAGTTATGTAAAAATGCAAAAGATTAGCAACATCCTGTTAATACTATGGTTAATCAATATATCTGTGATACAAGATCGTCGTAACTTAAGAACTCTTCATGCTTCCTGAATCAAGTCTGTATTTTCCCCTTTAATTATATTAAAAAAAGAAATCCTGGTCTGAGAAGCCTGAAACGAAACTTTCAATGGGCGCCAAAAGCATTCCAGCTTTTATTCTCCATTGCTATTTGCAATCACCCAGAGAGGAAACATGTAAGAGAGATCCCACCCAGAAAAGTCCCCTTCAGGTCACAACTGACATTCTCTTTCTTGAGGTGCCCCGCTGCGACAAGCAAAAGCCAGTTCAAAGATAGATCTTTGGGGCACCCCCTGGTGGCTGAGAAGAGTCAAGAACTCCCTGTCCTGACCCAGAAGGTCAGTGATCTTTGAGGCTTTCTAAATGGCCATCACCAAATTTTCCATTCAACGTTGTTAAATGCATTCAGATCAGGAAAACAGGAGGGAGTGGAAAGAATTTGGAATCACAAGACTTGGATTTGAGTCAGAACTCTGTCATGTACTAGCTATGCAAACCTGGGGCTGGCTGTTCAGTTTCCGCAGCACTGAGGTTGAACCTGGGGTTTCTCACAGGAGATAAGAGGCAATGTCAAAACTAGAGGAGTATACGATTTCATTATCTGATATGTCCAGAAAAGGCAACTTTATGGAGATAGAGAGTAGACTAGTGGTTGCCTGGGGCTGGGGATGGGAATGGGGATTAACTATAAATGGGCATGAAGGATCTTCCTGGGGTGAGGAAAATGTCCTCAACTGGACTGTGCACAACTCGGTAAATTTACTAACAATCATTCCAATGTGCATTTGACCTGGATGAATTTTCTGGTATGTGAGTTATACCTTTTGTAAAGTTGTTTTTTCAGATAGCAACTGGAAGGAAAAGCAGGATGAGTGGCCTGTGTAAACCCAGGTACAGAGCCGGGAAGCCGGGAAGCCCACACCCTGCACTAAATAAAAGGGAAAGGGAATGTGGGGTAAGTTAGGGATGGGCAGGAAAAAGGCCCAGGACGGGTGCTGCTGTTTGGAACTGTATTTTGGCCACTTTACATTGTCCATAGCTTGTGTCCAGGAGGGTCGCATGTGAGGGGCCCAAAGTGCATTTCCCCTCCTGCAGGCTAGGGCAGGGCTTCTGTGCGCTGGGATGGAAGTTCTGGCGGTCAGGGGCACTTCTGTTGGAGGGAAGACTATTAAAGCCGCTGGCTTGAGGCACCTGCTTCAAAATGACTATTTTTTTTTTTTTTTGAAATGTAAGAACTGTGTTTTCCTCACAATATTTCTCAGTATGAGGTAATTCAGTGTGGTTTAGATGTGGAATTAGATGACACTAAGGCACTGAGCAGTGGGCTAGGGGAGAGCATGGTTTTTTTTTTTTTCTCTTTGCATTACTTACTAACAGAAAACTTGAAAGTGTGAGAATTTATGGAAGTGCAATAAGAAAATTCAGGTGAATATCTCTAGAGGTGGGTAGAGAGAAACTTGGTAGGAATAACACCCAAGTGAAGCTGGAAGGAAGGAAGGAAAGAAAAAAAAAAGAGAGAGGTGGGGAGGGAAGGAGGGAAGGAGGGAGGGAGGGGAAAAGGAAGAAGGGAGGGAGGAAGGAAAGAAGACTCAGATGATATAGCAGGAAATAATGTATCGTACATACCAAATGGGTTTACTATCTTTAATATAACAGACACAATCCAGAGAAAAGTGGGCAAAGGATGGCTATAGATAATTCACAAAAGGAAAAGTAAGTGAATAAATATAATCTATTGTGAATAAAGTGAATAAATATAATCTATTATATTTATATATAAAAGATATATATAAATATAATAAATATACATATTTATTATATATATATAAAATAAATATAATCAAAGGACTTTTAGCCTGGCTACTAATTAATAACTATTATTAACAGAACAATGAGCAGGGGCTCCTGAGTGGCTCAGTTGGTTAAGCATCCATTCTTGATCTCAGCCCAGGTCTTGATCTCAGGGTCATGGGTTCAAGCCCAGGGTTGGGCTCCAAACTCCACACTGGGCTTTGGGCTCCACACTGGGGGATGGAGCCTACTTTTAAAAAAAGAAGAAGAAGGGGCGCCTGGGTGGCTCAGTGGGTTAGGGCCTCTGCCTTCGGCTCCGATCATGATCCTTGGGTCCTGGGATCGAACCCCGCGCCGGGCTCTCTGCTCAGCGGGGAGCCTGCTTCCTCCTCTCTCTGCCTGCCTCTCTGCCTACTTGTGATCTCTGTCTGTCAAATAAATGAATAAACTCTTAAAAAGAAGAAGAAGAAGAAAACAATGAGCTATTTTTCACCTGTGAGATTAGCAAAGATTAAGAAGATTGGTGTTGATTATCCTTAGATAAATGGTATAGCCTTGCTGGGGGAAATTTGGCACTCTACTTCAAAATGTAAATATGCATGCCTTTTGGCCCAGCAATTCCAGTTTGAGGAATTACCTGATGGTAATAATTACATGTGTGAAAAGATATATATGTTAGTGTGTTCATGATTGAGTTATTTGTAAAGACAAAAAAAAAAAAAAAAAGAAAGAAAGAAAGGTTCTCAAATGCCCATCAACAGGGACTTGATGATTATACATCTATTCAACAGACTATCCACGTGGTTAAAAATTAAACATTTTAAATTAATAATTAAATTAAAAATGAACATGATCTGTATTTTAGGTCATGAGGAAAATACTGACATTATGTTACTAAGTAAAAAATGTCAGGGCCATAAAAGCATAGATGGCATGATCACATTTTTGTTTTAAATTATACTGTGTG